TTCTAATCACTATATTTTTTATATTATATATTTCGTAATAAAAAAAAATGATTGGAATTAAAGTAAAATGCAATTTAAAATATTATTCATTCAACTAGTTGAGAATTATAACAGTTAATTAGTTCACGCAGAAGGCTCAAGGACAGTGTATATGTCGAGTTTTACGTAAGCTACACGAATGTATGCTTTTTAATTTCATAAAAAAGCATGTAAAAAAAATTAGGACATAATATTTTGTGCCCGGTTTTGATCCTTTGGCTCCTGTAAAAAGAAAAAAAACACTTAACAACAGTCGCCAGCCTAATTTGCCATCGGCCATTTTTTTTTTGTACGAATTACGTTTTAATTGATCTTGTTAATGAATCGGGGTACCACGAGTAATCCACTCATTAATAAATACGCCTTGTATTTTTAATAAGCATTGCTTCATGATTTGTAAAAAATCATGGTGATTCTAAAAAGTGTAGTCACTTGCTGAGAAGGATACTAACTTATTTTGAAGCAAATCATACCTGTATGATTCAGTAAATCTGTCAATCAAACTGAAAATTAGTAAGTAATGCTGATACAGATATGAGGTGAAACTTAAGTTAAAGATTTAATTTATCTATAAAAATACAGTAGTTGGATCAGAAACTTAACATCGCTACCTTTTATAGAGGGGCATTTAAAGGCAGGAGTAGAGCGGGCATGTGGCCAGGGCAACGAGATGTTGGGGCACCAAAATTTCAAAATTGATACGTGGCCGAACTAGTAAATACATAGAAAATTGCCACATGAGAGGTATGAACAATTATATCACGTGTACTGGTACAGTGACGCGTTATTCTGTGGGGGAAAAAAAGAGCAATTGCCCCACCAGGAGGGAACCCCAGATCAATCTTTTGTGAGAAAATCGTTCCCCCGAAGAAAAATGAATGAAGTCAACACTACACTAGGCCCTCTAATTCAAATTTACTTGGGACCCACGAAGATATAACTCGCTAATTTAATATGCATTATATTAATAGTGTTTATAATTTCTAACAAACTAATGAAAGGCTTATTCAGAAGGCGCCATATTTAAGTTTTCTCCCGGTACCAAAATACTCTAGCCACTTGCTCCGGTCTCATAAATAAATCATTTGAAGGCAATGATGATAAGTTTATTAAAGAGTAATTCAGTTTGATATCGAAGAACGACCGAAGAAAATTAACCGGGAAAGCGTTTTGCTTTTTCACTCATCCAGTTTTTCAAGTGAATCACGCGATGATCTCAAAAATGATAATACAATTGATATATATATATAATTTTTTTTTTAGACCGGAAATATGAATGTTCACGTGGGTGCAAAAGTAAACATGGCAGACCCTCGAAACGGAAATGATCTGAATCATCGTAAATCGAAATCTGATTTGGCATATCTTTTGGTGTCGTCAGTTTTAACTCTCACACTAATATGGCAAAAAATGAAATTGTATTGTCATAGTAGAACATTTATACCGATCGTAAATGCGAAGATTTTAAAGCGTGGGTTAGGAAAACCGAGCCGATTGTATTTAATTTAAAAAAAAAAGTAATAGTAACATGCCCAAGCTTTAAATTTGAATGTGTTTATATAGAATATTAATTAAATTCGCTTCGTTAAAAAACAAATTATGATAAAAGTATCTTTTATCGTTTATTTGCTTCCGATCTGTGTCATACTTATGGGGGGTGGTTTGGGTGTTTTTGGATCCCCAGAGGCTTTAGGAATAAAATTTAAACTGAAAAAAGCACAAACAACAAATCTAAAATCAATATCGATTAATTATCTCATTTCTTATTATAATATTAAAAAAACAACTGAATCCTCTTGTATCAATCGTTTTCTTATACAACGTAACTCTGGATTGTTACGAAAGAAGTTCGTCGAGTTTGTTCTATAATTTTCCTTCTAGATCAGTGGCAAAATCGGGATTTAATTTCGAGGGGAACCGAGTTGAATGGATAAAAATATTTTTAATGCGAATTCAAATGCTTGTTTTCCTTTTTCTTTGAGGGTGCCATGGATCCTCGGCTTCCCTCTGGGTGCGCCGAGGATCCTTGGATGTTCTAGATATGCATACAGCATTCTAGAACATCTGTCTGGAGGGTAGATAAGGGACACTTAATTTTTCTTCCGTCTGACTGTACTTTTTAGATCATACTCCCAGATCACCCCAGAGCGAAATTTTAGTTACGCCATTTCTTCCGGTATTTTTCATGCGCTAATTTCCACAATGTTTCGTCATTTTTCTCATTTCAACAAAAATTTAGTATATTTATAGTAATTACTTAAGACATCACGTCATATGAGTAAATAATTATGACGTATTTTGTGTCGTAAATTCTTCGCGTGTTAACCGAATGTGGCAAGGTCATGAGTAGTAGTAGGTTGTGACCTACCTTTTTAGTGCGGTAAACATCGCCCGATATTTCGTTTATTTCGTATTGATTGTATTGAAATCTTAATATACTACATTTTGCACTTATTGAGAATATATAAAGGGTTCTAAAACAAAATTTGCTGCTGATATTCATTGATGGGAGAGCGTATAGAATTGTTTTTCTGAACAACTGTTCTTACTACATACTATGGGTACTTTTCGATGCTGTCTGCTGGTACGGGGTACCGACACGTACCAGTTGAAAAATAGCTCTTGTATTGCGTCCCCCATTTATCAGCTGTTAGAAAAACATAAAGTGAACTGTCTTATTTTCTAAGGTTTAATATATTTAAAATAATAACATATTAGAAAATATTCCAGGGCATTCAATTACTTGATTTATTTAAAGTTTTAGTTAATGATTTTAAGTCGACGACGAGTGACATTTGATTTTTCTGGCTCCGGATAAGTTTTTTGAATTGCTTCTTTTGAGGCTTTTAATCCTTATCTTATTCCAAAAATGGAGTGTTGTAAAACTGGTTTTTTAGTGTGGCTTTGTTCTTTCTTGTTAAATTATATAATGTATGTATTTCCTGATGAAGGTCAATAAAAAAAAAGGATCACAAATTATGCAGTAAACATTTTACTGCATAATTTATGGTTTAGTGTTGTTTTTCTTTAAAGTTTTTTGGTTCTGCTGTTTGATTCTTTGAAAATCCTTAAATCTATTTAATCTTTTTATCATATTAAATGGTAATATGTCAATGTAGAAACACCCCCGAGATCTGTAAGAAAATCTAAAATGATTAATGATTTATTTGGTTTGACTTTGAAATAGATTGACTTTACACCCAACTTTAAGTAGTATTCATTTAAACAAAATAGACCGGGGTTTCTTTCTATATTAGAAACCTAATAATAACTAACTTAGTCAAAAAAGTATTTTTATTATTATACAAGTTATATGCTAATTAAAGAAATTAAACATTTAATTTACTATTCATCATCTAAGTTTTGATTAAAGAATATTGATTTTTAGTTTTGGAATGGCTTTTGAAACATAATTTCAGCTTTATCATTGTCGTAATGATGACGCTAAAGCTAAAATTATCAAGTTATCATTTACTGCTATTTATTAGGTACAGTTTTTTTTTGTAAATGTAATTCTTAGTAAAAATAAGCATTGTTTTATGCTAAAAAAAATCTAATGGCATGTATAGTTATCTGCTTTCCTTCTCTGAGAAAGCAGATAGCTACATGTTTGAGGAATTGAAAAAAATAATTAAATTTATTTATTTTTAACCTTAAGATTCCAAATATGAATAATTCTCAATGAAAGAAATATTCTTTCATTGCGGGAGTATTTATCTCTTTATTAGGTGAGGTAGGACACAATGTTGTATTGATTTTGCAGGTGTATTTTTACCACTACAACTAGCAGAATCAACAGATGTGCATCTGCTGTTTCTGTAGATTTATAGATGCAAATATGATGACAAATGTATGCTACAGATAACAATTTCTGTCAAATTTCATTTTTTGACTTATCATAATGACGATCTACATGCAGAAGATATTTTTATTGTTAGCTCTGAAGCATGTTGAAATTAAAATTTTAACATAATAAGGAAATACAAAATATACTCTAATAAAACAGGGACAGTATAGTTTTAAGTAGATTTAAGAAACAAGTTTTGATATGTTAATCTCATGATTCTGACTGAAAAACTCCATGAAACATCGAATATTTATTGGGATAGATTGACCTATTGAGAGAGGAAGAAAATTCTGTAGGGGTTAGTGTGTTATTCTCTGTTTCAGATAACTTGTTGACATATCGGCAATGGAAACAAAATTATACAGAATCTGTTTAAAATATACATTAAATTAAATTATTATACAAAATACAAATTTGTATTACATAAATAGTACTGTAAGCGGATGTTTTTTCTAGACTTCGTATTCTAGGTCAGTGGTAGCCAACTTTTGTGTACATAAGATCTACTTTTTATCTTAAAAATGTGTTGCAATCAACTTGTTGTCATACATAGTCTCGGTGGCGAGGGGGAGGTGTGAAAAACATACTATGTTTAGATAGGTAAGAAGAGCCACAATTTAATTAAAACATAAAGAAAAGGTACTTACATTTTAAACAGAAGAAAAATTGAAACTCAACGTTGTCACTTTTGGGGATCATTAACTTCACACTTCCTCTCTCTACTGTGTCCCAACCTACCCTCTCTGTCCCTCTTCCTGCCTTTTGTTTTTCTCGGTTTTACGACCCTTTGTCTACATTTCTTATTCCCCTTTTACAACTGTACGCAAATGGATTGCACATTGACCAACAAAACCACATCTGAGGGAGGATGCGGAGGTCCAATATCACTACAGTTGCATTTGCACATTACGTTCACATGTTGCGTTTGGTTACAAGTGTAATTCAAGACATCGCAAGCGATCGACCAAAATTGGCTTCACAATCGACTTGTTGGCCACCCCTGTTCTAGGTGGTCTAGACTGAATTTTTCAAAAATTGTTTCAAATTGTTTTGCTGTATGTCTTAATTATTATATTAAATTTTGAAAACCCAATTATATATTTTTTTCTTAAAGGTATTAATACAAGAAAATGAAAGATCTGCAGTATTTCAAGCTGAATAAACTTAGCTGTTTTATAATAATTGTAATCATTAATTTATCTTTGGTAAGTAATTTTCTTTGGCTCTTTATAAAATTTTAATTCTTAATTTTGTATTCAGTACAAAAAAAATATTAATATTGGTTTATGTATAAAGCTATATTGGTCTCACCAATATACTGATAAATGTGAAATGTATTGAGTATGTTATCAAAAATTCCAAAATGTCTAAAAGGTTGATCATGTAAGATCTCAATCACGTGTTTAACCTTTCTCCGTATAATATCTTGGTATGTACACGATTGATTTTAAGATCCACTAGTAATTAATACAGAGCAAATTAATGATACACTGCATTAGATGTTTTTGAAAATCAAATGTTTAAGAAAAAGATCACTGTCCAAAATGTGGTAACACTCATAAAATATTTATATAATGATGAATATAAAATATTTAAAATATATTTATGATAACATTGATAAAATATACTTATCAAATGATTCAATTTACATAATACGTCTGTATAGCATGCATTTTTAATATTGTATTATTAAGAAATTGTTTAATTTTCTTTTGAAATATTACTATTTATGTGAGGCTCTGGACAGGTCCGAACCCTCACTAAAATTCGCGTTGAAATAATTGTTTTAGAGAAAAAATATATAGTAGTTAGAAATAGATTTTTATTTTATGAAAACATGACGCTAACTTTTAAACAATAGAAGAATGTAAGTCCGTTGACCATTTCCGGTTGGAGATTGATTAAACTTCGATTTTGACCTCTCCCGTGCCCTTGAAAGGTTTCGAATTGTCATCAGGTGACAATGAGAGACCAATCGGAAAAGGGAATCTGAGAGAAAACGGATAAAACCCCGGAAATTCAAGGACGCGGCGGCTTCTTCTCCCGAAAGTTCCAAGTGACAGATCTGTTATTGTGTGTGTGTCTCGCACCTATCTTCGTCTCCATCTCCTGACCTCGGATCGACATCATTCCATCAACAGAAGTCGACCGCATTGTCCCGGAGTCGTTGAGACGTGATGGAATGGTTCATTTGCAAACAAGAGACATTTCTTCAAAATGGGACTATCTTGGAAAGGAGAGGAAGACCCAGAGGCCGCAGCCGCCGCAGAACTTCCAAGATCGCGGAAATCTTGTAAGCTTCTTTCGTGTTTAATAAACGATTGTGTTGTTTGTAAATGAAGCATCTAGCTCTGACTCAACTGCTTCCACATGTCATTGATTGTTACCGCTCGGCAGTCCAAATGGCAAGGGAGACAATGACGATATATATTGCCTATTATCGTTCATTGAGTTCTTTAAATTTCTCCCCCTCAGTCCCCACATTTAAAGCATATAAAAAGACAGAACTATACTATCAGATCATTTTTCTCATCTGCTTTTGAATAATTTAACTATGATTATATGACTTGTTAATCTGATTTTTCAGATATGATAAATATGCAAATAGAAGAATTTTATATTTTGTTTATAATAATAAAATCCTACAAAACAGAGGAATATATTCACTAGTTAATGGAAAATTTGCTGAAATTCTGATGAATTTAGAGATTTGCTAATTTAAAAAAAGAAAATCAAGAGGGTAGCTTGTGTTGTGTCTTTAGATACGTGGATGATTTAATGATATGAACTTGTTTGTATTGGCGACATCAGTGGGGGAATGCAATAGGTTTTATCTTTCTAGTGAATTAAATTAATGACAAACAAATAAATTTCATAAACAGGAAGATTAAGTGTCTTTGGAATAAAACACAATACTAGTGTTTACTATGCCACAATTATAAAACAAGACACGGTTTCAAAAATCAAATCAACAAATCTACAGAAACTAAAGAAGATTAACATTGAATATGGAACATAGCTTTGATTTATGGAAAGCCAGATGTAGCCCCACTTATATTATGCCTGCTGCATGAAAACTATTTTTTCTATGAGTTTTTTTTGTCATTTAAACACCTCATAGACTTTTTTTAGTTTCTGTAGATTAAAATAAATCATATTAATTGAAATATATTCACTTTCTACTTGATAATCATGCGATATACTGTATTAATTTTTTTGCTAATATCTAACATTAAATATTATTATTATTCTCTAAACTGTTAGATATTTTTAAATCCAAATCTTTAAGTTTAATTTCTTGAATTTATTTTTTAACACTTCAAATATCAAAAGGAATATTGTCGAAAAATAGAATAAAATTTACTGACAGGTTGCTTAATTGATAATGTACAACTGTGATAAAATTGAGGACTGGTATCTGGCATTATAACCTGTAGTATAGAGAGGATATAGTTGATTCTTTCGATTCAATCATTAATATTTCTGATGAGATCATAATAAAATAATTTATAATATGATCAGTTTCTGATTTGTAACTTGTCACCATTACAATTAGGAGATTAGGCAGAAAATTGATCCTGAAATTGAGCATCAAGGAAAACATGCAAGAACTCTTGCCAGTTTTATAGCCACCATTTCTAATAGTGCTAGTCATTTTCAGATGATTAACTTAATTAATTTTAATTTTGTCTATATTTAAAAAGTCAGGGTTTTTTTTTATTAATATAAAAACTATTCTTATATCAAGAAGCTTTTTTATTTTCTCATATTAAATGCTCTTTAAGCTATTTCAGCTCATCAGATGCAGCCTTAAATTCATCCTCAGAATTCTCTATTTTAACCATAATCGGTGTTTCTTAATGTGATTTGTATATACCAATTTTAAGTTTCTTCTCAAATTGCTTTAGATTTTATTTTAGTAAATATAATCGGTTAATTTAAGAGAATGTAAGAGAAAGGAAGGCATTGAATAAATAATACGAATAATATGATGATTAAAGTTAAACTATTTGTAATTGAAAATAAAAGAATTGATTTACATTTTTTCTATAATAGAAAGTATATTAAATATATATTAAATATTTAGGGAGATCAATGTGTTTGGTATGGATCCTGTGGTATTGATGTTAAAACAAACAAATCTGCTGTTTGTAAATATGACGGACCTCCAAAGTTACTACAGAATAAAGAAGAAAGTCTTCAGATTTTATCTAAACTTTGTCCCTATTTTAACCAAAGTAAGTTTTGTTAATAATTGTATATTTTTTGTAGCTGTTATTAATAAAGTTACGTATTAAGTATATTTTTTTTTATTTAAAACTCTAAAATATTTAATATTTTGCTTTGTTGGAAAATTATTTATATTCTAGATATTTTACATATTTTAACTTGAGGCATTATAAGGAATTCAAACAATAAAGTTAAAATATGCAAAATATCTAGAATATAAATAATTTCCCAACAAAGCAAAACCTGCAAACTGATAAAATACAAAATAATCATAAAAGAATATATAGTATAATAATATTAATATTATTTTACTTTGCACAGGGAGCATCTGTCTAAAGTAAATGTTTTCGGTGTTAATTTTTTAGGTAAGTTTTATATGTTTATGATATGAAACTTACCTAAAAAGGAAAACCAAATGTGTTTCCAATATTTATTCAACGGACAAATGCTCCTAACTCAGATATCCAATGGCATTTAATTTATATTGGAAGTCATGTTATCTAGATGCAAAAGATTAACATAATCTCTTAAATACATTAACGTTACAGAATGCCCACAGATAGAATTTTTTTTGATACATCCTTATATAAACAAGGGATTTCATTTAATGGAATTTCATTTCATCTAGCTTGTGTTTGACAAAATTAACACATTAAATAAAATCCCTTGATTTTATAAGGATGTATCAAAAAATTAAATTGTACCAACTACAGTACTGACTCTTCTCAATATCTGAATAAATAAGCTGCAAAAAATTATCAAAAAAATTGAATACAAGGACAGTTCAACTTATTATTAAACATAAATTTTAAACACATAGTTGCAGTTTATTCAACCTAAATTCTTATAAACCAATTTATTTGATCATCTAACAATTAGTAATTTTAAGGGGCCAGTCAATCTTCAAACGGACAAAAGAATTAGGAGACATCAAGATAATTCTTATAACTTTTTTATAAATTTAGCTTTTATTTTGTCCTTATTAGTTAATTGAAAACCCATAATTAATGAGGCATATAACAAAGAGGGCAATACTACAGATTTTAATAGACTTAAATAATTGTATAAATTAGAAAATGTACTGCTTTTCTCAATTGAATAATTTTATTCAGAAAAATCCTAGCTTGTGTTTTCTTGTTTAAATATTGCTTATGAAAAGATCGATTATTGGAGATGACTTCCAGATGTCTATAACTATTTGTAATAACATACATAAGAAATCCATTTAAACAACTATTTATTTCATCTTGTCTTTTTACCTGTACAGAAAGCAATAATCTTCAGATTCAATCATTTTCAATTAAATAGTTAGCCAATATATCAATCATTCTCTGTAAACCAATTACAAAAGTCTGATAAATTACAATATTGTCTTCATAAGCAAGAATTTTAATATTTAAGTCCATGAAAAAGGCATATACCTTTCTATGTTTTCTTTAAGATTTTTCTGTATAACAGTATAAAGACAAAAAGGTTATTTACAGTACTATATCCAGGATGAAAACCCACTTGATTCTCATATAAAATTTTTTTATTATTTAACCAAAAGAGTAATCTCCTACACAATATACTACAGAACAATTTCAAGATATAAGGTGTCATCCAGAGTACTCTGTAATTATTCAGATAATCTCTCTCCCACACTTAGATAGGAGTCAGAACACTTATCTGTCAAACATCAGGAATTGTACCAGATTAAAAAATCCTAAAAAATGCAAAAGATATGGAAGGAAGGAAATTGGAGGTAATCTGAAGAGCACTTGGTGCTCATGCAAGAAAAGCTAACCTTAACAATTTTATTACATTTTATTATTGTTTCAATATCTAATATGTTGATTATTTAGTAGTATAATATTTGAAGTGTTAACAAACAATGTATAAAATTCTGATTCATGATTTTATACACATCACAACACCTTAAGTTGCTGAGAAATTTATTAAGAATGTAACTAACGTTTTTAATAAATTTCTCAGCAACTTAAGGTGTCGTGATGTACTTTACTATTTGCTGAGTAAATTTAGTGGAATCATAATTTTATTTTTAAATATTTCAGATAATGGCTATTTATGCTGTGATGATAAACAAGTAATGAATTTGAATGCCCAGTTACCTATGCTAGGTGCTGTTGTAAAAAGATGTCCCTCTTGTTTTGCAAATTTAGCTGACATGTTTTGTGAAGTGATCTGTTCTGCAAAGCAAAGTGACTTTTTACAGGTATATCATGGGTTTTTTTTACTTTTTTATAAAAGATATGCAAACTTTGATATCAACTTCAACATATCGTGCAATATCAATGTTTATATATATAATAGATACATATTAAGCAAAGTCTGAATTCTAATAATCTGGTTACTTTTATTGCTTGAATTTATCTTTGGATTATAATAAGAATTTGCTAAGTTTTAATATATATTATAGCTAAAGATAATCCAATTAATTTAACTTGATTGTGTGTTTGTGTATGGATAATCCACAGGTTAACTGGAAAAAAGTCAGTTTGAAATTAATTATGGATTATATAGTTTATCTGCTAGTTGTGCAGTGTGAATTACTTTAGTTTAACTCTGCAATTTATTACAGAGTGACTAGAGTTACACTTTTGTTTGGAAAGTGCTCTATTCTGAAGAAAACCTGAAAATGAGACTTAAGTCCCTGAAAATGTTAATCCCAAAGATTTTTCTCATTTCTTAAATATTGAAAAGCTGTTTTATCACAGGATCAATTAGTCAAAAATATTCTTTCAGCATTTAATAATGAAATTTGCAGATTTCTTATAGACTAATAATAATTTTTAAATACTGACAATGATCATCAATCCTTCACTCTATCAGTTAATTCTATTCTACATTTATTATATCATATTTAGATTATTTTTAAAGAAATAAATCTTACTTGATGCAGTTATTGTAAAAAGAATCAATAATTGATTTTTAAATTTTTATCATTAAAATACTTTAAAAGTTTTAATGTTTTATATAAACATTAAATTTATATATAATAAGTCACCAAACAATCGCCTAAATATTGGCGATCATTTGGTGACTTATTGTATACTACTCGGGCTTTGCGATGTTGTTTGTATTTATATATAATAATAATAATAGTAATTATTATTATATATAAATACAAACAACATCGCAAAGCCCGAGTAGTATACAATAAGTCACCAAATGATCGCCAATATTTAGGCGATTGTTTGGTGATTTATCGTACCAAGTTTGTCTGGGTCTTCTTCTCTTTCTCCTTTTTTGTGGATTGTATTCCATTGACATTTTCAGGAGTCTTGTCACTCATTCTTTTCACATGTCCAAACCAAATAAATTATTTCCTCTTTATTTCTTCCAAAACGTCTTCTTCAATCCCATTAGGTCTTTGATTCTCTCATTAGTTATTCTTTCTCTTTTTGAGATTCTGCACAATGCATCCATTTCAACCATTGTTACTTTTTTCTTGTTTTTTCCCAGTCATTCTCCATGCCTTTGCCCTGTATAACAGAATGCTTTTAACCAGGGTTGGCATGATTTTAAAAAAATGTTTTAAAAAACATTTATTAGAACATGTTTTAAAACATAGTCATCAGATTTAAAACATGGTTTTTTTGGAAATAGTAATTGATCTAGTAAAATAGAAAAAGAAAAAAACAAAACAAGACTCAAGAATGTACGGAATGTTTTATTTAATATAAAATATAGCATTTTTAAATGTTTCTTTATGCAATGGCATTTTTAAGATTTGCATGTACAAACACCAAAACAGGATTGACAGCAGTAGCTTCTGCAGCTTGAAGAATTTCTTATTTTCAGAAATGTATAGTACAATGCTTGGTAGTGTTTGTTTTAGTGCTTGAAAACTTTAACAAGCTTTACTGCCTTTTCCTGTCCAAATCAATTTCTAAGTTTTGAATGAACAAGTCCATAGGTAGAGAAAATTCTCTCAATTCCTGCTGAAGAAGCCACTGCTGTGTGCAGCTGTGTAACTAATTTTAAAACAGGTTTATCAATTCTGTCACGTAGTGACTGCCACCATGTAAGATGAGTGATATTAGTTAACACAGACTCTGCAAACATGTGTTGCAGAAATGGGCTAGTTTTTGCCAAGTATTTTAAAACTGAAGTCATAGCATCTGGATAGTAAGCATGGCATAGAGTAAGTGCAGCATCTTTCATACTGTCTGTGAGCTTTGCACTCTGGTATCTTGGTCCAGAAGATTTGCTAAAAGGTGATAGTCTGTGATAGCTATATTAAATCTGTCTTTGGCTGTTTGCATGACTCCAGTGATCCCAAGTTGTTGCAAGTCATTTTGAACACTATAAAAGTAGTAATATCATTAGATGTAAAAAACATGCTTTTGTAGAAAAACTATACGAAAAATTTAAAATAACTAAAANTAGAAGTTTAATTAAATATTTGATTTTGTTATTGACAAACTTTGTCATTATTTAATTCGGTGCACGCTTAAAGTCCAGGCCTGGCACACTAACGCGAATCCGCGTAAAGTACCCGTTAGGGAACGGCTATTTCCGGCACACAGTAGTGTCGATAATCGTTGGAAAGTCGGAAAAATAATATAGTACTTTACAACACTACACAAAAGCCTGGGCACATTACATTTGAATACACATACATTACATTACAGACGGCCACTATATTGATTACATGTCATATTGTTAGGAAATTCCTGAATACAGACACACACACTGACATACTTATTTAATATTTGTTTTGTTTTGGTCACTATGCCTTGACCCTGCTCTGGCATAGTGACCAAAACAGCAACTGGTGTCAACTGAGTATAACTCACAAAATCCAACATGATAATAATAATAGATATTTTTAATACAAATTTATAACCTTTATTATTTTGATTACAGGTTACAAATACTTCACACAATGCTGAGGGAAATATTACTGTGTCAGAATTAGTATGTAATACATCTGAAATATATGCTGAAGGTATTTACAATTCCTGTAAGAGTGTACAATTTGTTCCAGGTTTAAGTGCACTTGTTCTTTTATGTGGAAAATGGGGAGAAAAAGATTGTGATCCATCTCGATTACTTAATTCATTGGGAAATAATGCACAGTCTCCAGTCATAATAGATTTTGATGTGAGAAATGACAGTTCGGAAACAAATCATCTCTTAAATTCAAAAATTATACCTTGTTCTGAGCCTGTTAAGCCAGGAACTGCTCCTTGTTCTTGTGCTGATTGTCCTTGTATACCTCCACCATTACCACCACCTGAAACTGAATGGACTGTTTGGGATTTGCCAGGAATTGCTGTCATTATGATATTTGTTTTTTCAATATTAACTATAACGATCATTACTGTATATATCATTTATATTTGGAAGAGGAAGTCTGAAAGTAAGTAATTTTAATTCTTTTTTTACAAGTCTTGATATGATATATTCAAATATAATAAAGACAATTTACTATATTAATGCTTTCTTCAGCTAATAATTAACCATTCAAAAATAATAATCATTAAAGTATTTTTGTTATAATTGAGTTTAAATATTATACAAAACAAGTTCAAGTGCTTCAAAATGTCCATTTGAAACTGGAATAAGATTACAGTGGAACCTCGGTATACGACCTTAATCCGTTCCCGATGTTTGGACTTATACCGAATTGGACGTATACCAAACCAACCTTTCCCATAAGAAGTAATGTAAAAATGATTAATCCGTTCTCGTGTAAAAAAATGGCTGGCTTTAAACACCTTGCTTTCCTGGCTAGTTCCTGCTTGATTTTTCGTGAGATCAGCGTGTATCTTTTTAGCTTTCNAAATAAACGTTATAATTAAGAAATTTAAATAATAATTACTATTATTATTATTATATATAAATACAAACAACATCGCAAAGCCCGAGTAGTATACAATACGAGTAGTATACAGAATATACAACACATCTGGTTGCAAGCTCTTGGCTCAGACAGATTATTTACATAGACATAATCAAGTAGCAAATATAATACACTAAGAGCTTGCAAACAAACACAAATTATTAGACATCCATGAACCATAATACAAATACATTCTACAGACAATATTGGAAAACAATACTCACAAAATGTACTATGACAGAGCTATAATCACAGATAAAACAATTTACCACATCAGACCAGACATCACACTCATTGACAAACACAATAAAATCACATATATTATAGACATATCCATTCCAAACACTCACAATGTACAAAACACATGCACTGAAAAAGTCAGAAAGTACACAGAACTCGCCCAGGAAAAAAGGCATCTGTGGAGGATGGATAGGGTGCTTATTGTACCTTTCGTTCTCTCCGGTACAGGTGTCATACCACACACACTACACAAAAGCCTGGGCACATTACATTTGAGTAGAAATACATACATCACACTACAGAAGGCCACTATATTGAATACATGTCATATTGTTAGGAAATTCCTGAATACAGACACACACACTGACATACTTATTTAATATTTGTTTTGTTTTGGTCACTATGCCTTGACCCTGCTCTGGCATAGTGACCAAAACAGCAACTGGTGTCAACTGAGTATAACTCACAAAATCCAACATGATAATAATAATAGATATTTTTAATACAAATTTATAACCTTTATTATTTTGATTACAGGTTACAAATACTTCACACAATGCTGAGGGAAATATTACTGTGTCAGAATTAGTATGTAATACATCTGAAATATATGCTGAAGGTATTTACAATTCCTGTAAGAGTGTACAATTTGTTCCAGGTTTAAGTGCACTTGTTCTTTTATGTGGAAAATGGGGAGAAAAAGATTGTGATCCATCTCGATTACTTAATTCATTGGGAAATAATGCACAGTCTCCAGTCATAATAGATTTTGATGTGAGAAATGACAGTTCGGAAACAAATCATCTCTTAAATTCAAAAATTATACCTTGTTCTGAGCCTGTTAAGCCAGGAACTGCTCCTTGTTCTTGTGCTGATTGTCCTTGTATACCTCCACCATTACCACCACCTGAAACTGAATGGACTGTTTGGGATTTGCCAGGAATTGCTGTCATTATGATATTTGTTTTTTCAATATTAACTATAACGATCATTACTGTATATATCATTTATATTTGGAAGAGGAAGTCTGAAAGTAAGTAATTTTAATTCTTTTTTTACAAGTCTTGATATGATATATTCAAATATAATAAAGACAATTTACTATATTAATGCTTTCTTCAGCTAATAATTAACCATTCAAAAATAATAATCATTAAAGTATTTTTGTTATAATTGAGTTTAAATATTATACAAAACAAGTTCAAGTGCTTCAAAATGTCCATTTGAAACTGGAATAAAAATACAGTGGAACCTCGGTATACGACCTTAATCCGTTCCCGATGTTTGGACTTATACCGAATTGGACGTATACCAAACCAACCTTTCCCATAAGAAGTAATGTAAAAATGATTAATCCGTTCTCGTGTAAAAAAATGGCTGGCTTTAAACACCTTGCTTTCCTGGCTAGTTCCTGCTTGATTTTTCGTGAGATCAGCGTGTATCTTTTTAGCTTTCTTGCAAATAATTGCTTCCGATACGCTGTCTCCAGCACATTGTTTTTCAATTATCCAAAACAAAAGCAATTTCTCGACATGATCTAATGTCTTCGATCTCTGTTTATAAATTAATTTAACCCCTTTCGCAATGTTAGCACATTTAATAATGTCTTTATTTTTTGCGATTGTCCATATCGTCGTTCTCGGAATACGGTAAACAACAGTTAAAATCTCGAACACACGTGCCACCTTCGTATTTCTCAACAATCTCTTTTATCAGTTCCATTGTAATTCTAGTCATTTTTTTAGTTTTCTGTGGCTTTTCATTTGCCTTTTTGCAATTCGTGATTAATAAAAATAATAAAATTTTACTTACGAATTAAAATCAGAAGAAATTTAACAAAGTTATAAACCGTTGCACCGCGAATGTCTAGTCTGGTCTAGTACACCGATAATGGTACTTGTTCGTTGACGGTGCGTATAATTGAATTATGTCGTATACCGAACAAAAGTAGTATACCGAGCAAAATTTGCTTCGTCCAAACAGGACGTATTCCGAATTGGACGTATTCTAAAGCAGACGTATACTGAGGTACCACTGTACTTACGACACATTGTAAAATAAACTTGGTTCTATGGTTAAAAGTATTTACAATATAAACTAATATTTCCATTTTAATTTTATATTTATACTTTGTATGATTTTTTAAATTTTACTGAAGTTAGATTCATTTAAAGTATTTATCATAAGAAGCAATCATAAGAAGCAAATTTCAGTAAAGTTTAAAAAATCTGCAATGTGCAATCATACTAGACAGGCATTTTGCTAGTTACTGTCTAATCATACATCCTAATCTTTGTTTACAGATATTTACTTTAGACTTACTTCAGTGTTTTACTCTTTAGATTCTTTATCTGTAAGTATGCTGTTCAATTAGTGCCATCCTGAATGTGTCCAGTGCTTGCAGGTCATGATTTTCAGAATTCTGAATTTCAGTCATAATTTTATTCCAACATGATAAAAACATGCACGTTGCAAATTAAATTCTGAATTACATTGTCAACTGTAAACAATAATATAGCCAGGAGCCCACAAGTGACCAAGTGGATAAAATCATTGAACACTAGTGATTGGTCTTGGGTTCACATCTGATCAACTGGCTGGCCACCTTTTTAGTTTTTTTGTTTTAATATATCAACACCTAAATGGGGACCAGCTTTCTATAGAAAGTCTTCCCGGGAACCACCCCACTTTTAGATTGCTCTTACGTTACATTGCCTTACATCATTGTCATTGATATAGGGGATATCTGTACTTCTTAAATTGCACAATTTTATAAAATCAAGACCTGTTATGCAGGAAAGTATCTAAAAGTGTGTGTCAAAAATCAAGCATGTGAAATTGTCATTTTGTACAATGCATTTCAGATGTAAAGATGTAAACCCCTCCTCAGCTGCTGACAACTCTTTAAAAAAAAGCTTTTAAAATTCTTCTAAAGTATTCAGCATACATCACTCTTTAATATTTATTATTAAAAGAGTAATAAATAAAAAAGTTTTTTCTTTCTTTTGAATTTTCTCAGGGCTAGTTCTTTTTAAGAGTTGTGAACAGCTGAAGAGGAGTTTATATCTGAAATGCATTCTACAAAATGACCAATTCCACATATTTGAGTTTGCCACATTCTTTTAGATACTTTCCTGTGTGATAAATCCGGATTTTATCAAATTATGTGTGGTTTTAAAGAAGTTCAATGATTGATAGGACAAGAAGTTTTGAACACACCATCAACAATATGGCCTGAAATTTTCTAGCTGTTTAATCTTATGCTTGACTATGAGACTTAAGCTTTGACTTGTACAGTAAACAAAAATATAGTATATGTTTTATTCAATTTAAATTCTATTTTTTGGATTAATGGATAACTGTTTTTAATAGTTAAATCTTCTAGTTGCATTACATTTAGAATTATTTATTGTGACATTGTCACAATGCAATTCTTAATAAAAATTCATTTAAAACATATGCTCTCCACCTCAAATTAGTAGTGTCTTGCTCCTGTACATCATATTTTTCTTGCTAATAAGTGTCATGTCAGTCATCTATCTAACTCCTTTCAGGGGAAAATTTTTGGATTGAAATAACATGAATTCCGGTGCAAACTGGAAGTTCCTGTAATATATAACTGTAAGCTTTCCATATCCGATCATGACTTTTATTTAACTAACTTCATTCTGAAGATTAAAGGAAGGATGGATGGACAACAGTGGGAATTTATAGATATACAATTTTTTAAAATTGTAGCCCAAAAACAATCCTTATAAAATTGTAAAGAACTATTTTATATAATTTCTGCAATATACAAATTGAGAGATGGCAGATATTCTACATAAAAGACCATAAATTATAAAAGTACAAGTATATAACTTTTGATATTTGAAAGAATTATTGAGTAATAGAAAATGGGAACTTGTGAATAAATTGTAATATTTGGAAGAGAATAATTAGGTAACCAATATTACTTAACATGAGTAAAGTTGAAATATTAACTAATATGTAAATAAGTTATTTTAAAATATCTAATTACAGCAGAGTTCTGATCGTAGTATAGACTTTTGAGCACCTCGGATAATGAAAATCTTAGATAATGCAATATTCGGCAAAGTATTAAATACACTGGATTTGGATAATTATTGAACATAATGACTAATAAAACATTTTTAAGATTTTATTTAATAAAAAATTGTATTTACTAAAAATTAATTAACCTAAAATTTGTTTATCTTTTAAAAAATTTTTCAATTAAGTTTTAAAAATATATATTTTTTATTTTTATTTTTTGTTTAGGGCCTTATCAAAGAGAGAGTTTTCAATCTATTGGAGAAAATCTCTCATGCTTAGAAAAATATGGAAATAGAGTGGAGAAAAAACTTCAAGAAATCTTTAATAGTGTAGGAAAATATTGTGCTACGCATTATATTCTTGTTCTCATGGTAGGGATGACTGCGTTTGTCGTAATGTCGTGTGGTTTAATATTTTTTACCGTAACGAGAGATCCGGTGCACCTTTGGTCGGCCTCGACTAGCCGATCCCGCTTGGAACGTGATTATTTCGATTCTCATTTTGGGTATATTTAACTTTATTAATAATTTTAGTTATTAGAATTATTTATATTTGCTGTGTATGCATATAGTTTTATAAATAAATAAGTATATGCACACATGCAAAAAGAAATGTGTGTGTGTGTGTGTAATTCATATATTTGACATCTGTTAAGATGTCAAATATAAGAATATCTTTGATAATGTATATAAATATAAATTCAGATGTATGCACTTTGACATAAGTCTATTCAAAGTTACAATGATTATTCCTTAAAGCATTTACACTAACCATATCACAAATGAAAGGGGCATATGGTTTAAACAAAACAAAAAGGAACTATTCTGCCAATCTTTTAACTGTATACATAACCTCATTCTTTATAATAACTTCATAATAGCTATAATAAAATGGTTTTATTAAAATATAATGTAAATTGCTTTTTTGTTACTGAGAATGATCGCTGTTTATAGTTGCTTTAGCATAAAAATGTCTCATGATATATTTTTAATGATTACATGTCCTTTCATCATCTGGCATTTTAACGCACATGTGCAATGGCATGCACACGCACAATGACTTCACTTTTGTTACGTAAGTGTTATGTTCTATTCCATCCATTTATTGTGCTTGTGCACACACGTGTGCAACAACATCATAACTCAATCTCCAATTAAAAATATTCTTCTGCATCTGATCTAGAAATTTGGATACTTTTCCAAATTTCTAGTTCAGATGCAAGAGAATATTTTTAATTGGAGAATTGCATCACTTTTTTAAAGGCATTTCATTAGGCCACATCTTGTATTGAAGATTGTATTCATTCAGCATACATTCATTAAAAAAAATATGCAAACCCACTCTTCTCAGACTATTTATTTAGATAAATATCTTTATAAAAATAACTCTTACTTCTAACCTTGTAACTGGAGTGGTTGTGTTATGTCAGCAAACGTTTTTGACGCCCCTTCTGGGCTCTTGGGCTTTTTCTCTAAATATTAAGCCAGACGTTGAGAATCGAATACCTTCTTTTGAGCCGTGTATCATTTGAATCATCATACATGGCAACCTTCGAGCCGATTTAAAAAGAAAAGAGCGATGTTTTGTGTACAGTGCATACGCGCTGCAGTACTTTCGATGTAAACTTTTAAATGCTATCATCTAGCAGGATCTGCCATGCTTTTGAAAGGGCTACCTCTTCTTTAAAATTGATGCATGCTGTGTTGCATCCTGCTCTAAATATCTCCATAGCCTCCAACCATTTGAGATGTTCAGGGTGGGTGGTAGTGAGGATAATATGCGCCGCATCAAAGTCCGCCATGATATCCTGATCAGTCGCATATGTTGAGAGAGCCGTTTTATTACATTTTCTTTGATAGAAATTTTTAGACAAATATACTCAGCCATATGTATTCTTATGTCATACTGCAGTTTTGGTGAATGTAATAAAAATATTGCCTAATTTTACTAGTAGTCTTTTTGTCTTTGGACACTTGTGATCAAATTTCCCTCCTGGCTCCTGAATATATAGCAAAACCTTGAGAAATTTTTCCAAAAAACTTATTAATTATAATCAAATATTTACACATGTTGATATTATGAAATGTTAACAGATTAAAATTGATTCACAGCTTGCAGAGCACACTGCTGCAAGCAATCTTGTAGTAATGTGTTGTTTACACATTAAATGTGGGTAGTGAATAGTGTTGTTTACACATTAAATGTGGGTAGTGAATAGAAATATTACGTGGGTAGTGAATAGACAAAAGACACATTTGCGGAAGCTCATAGAGCTTCCGCAAATGTGTCTTTTGTCTATTCACTACCCACGTAATTCAAAATTAAAAACTATATCCACTATTCGTGTTATGACTGTTTCTGTATTCATTTTGTTGGCCATTCTTTGTGATATTATGTATTTATTTTCAGAAATATAATCTTAATATGACACTGAATGTACTAAATGAGTTCACTATTTTCTATAAGTCTTCTGAGAACCGATTAGGTTATAAAGTCTCTTTTACACAATTAAATGTAAAATGATTTCAATGTATAATTAAATTATATAGAAATTTACAGTTTATAGAGTCTAAGTATAGAAATTTTATAAGTTTCCTTTTAAGAGATGATTAAATTCATTGTATATTTTATCTGTTTAGCCCATTTTATCGAACAGAACAAATTATCATTACTAGGAAAGAGTTTGGAAATAATGAGAGAAACTGGTCTTCTATTTTTGATAGAGAATTTCTTCTTCAGGTAAAAAGTTTTCTTAGGATTGTTTTTAAACATTAAATAAAATAGATTTAATGTGTTAAATTTTTGTGATTATTATATGTAATTTATAAGATTAACTATAATAATTTATGTAACAAATCTAAGATGATTAATTTCTGAAATGTTTGATTTAGATCTAGATTTTTCAGATTAGTTAAGTACCTTGTATCTTTTTCTATTGCTTACTTTTAATGTTTTCTATTAATTTCACACATTAACATAAAATTACTTTTTCAAACACCAATACAATCCATACTATGATAACATCCCTTGCAGCTATAACTATTATTCAAACACTTTCGTTTAACTAATTTTCCTATATTAAGTTTCTTTGCATATACAACAGTTTGGCACGGTCTTATAAAAACTGGTCTTGCAGGATCAGATTGGGTGAACGATATAGCTAAACAATAGATACGTCACTACCATTTGTGTGGAAAATTATAGATTACAACAACTTTAATTTAAAAATGCAAAACCATATATGCAAACTTCAGAAATCATGTTTTTAAATGATAAATGCACATATATCAAAAGTTGTCCACTGGAACAACTGTAGTGGCTACATAAAATCTTACTAACCCGACAGATTAGTCTGGCAGTTGTCAAAATTATCACCTTTTTAAGGTTTGATTCTGAAGGTCTTTGTCGGGACATTCGAATGCCGGAATGCTCATTTAATGTTTGTTTGAATTGAATTCATTTTTTAAAAATCTGCTGTCACGCACACATTATTCAATGCATGGATGTGCATTTCATAAAGTAGTGTCAAAGCATGCTGGCACACATGAAAGTGATAATTTTGACAACTGCTGGACTAATTTGTCAGATTAGTGAATTTTATTAGTAAGTAGTCGAGGTAGAATTTGAACTGTTTATATAACTGAAATAACACTAATGCAACCGTAATAGAATATTTATAAACACTATTGTAACATTGTGGTAAATTTATAAAAGAAATACTTAACTAAAAAAAAATTCAAAAACTATTTTCTTTTATTCCTTTAAATTTAGCAATATGCATTATTATTATTATTAAATATTAATTAAATAGGAACATAAAAACATTTCTTAGATACCTTAATTAACAATTATTGGGTTCCGAATGCAGGAAGAGCCCTGATGGTCGCTAATTAAATTAGTTGAAAATATTTGTATTCATATAAAAGTTAAATGTTAGATATTAAAGGTTTTGTTTTAGTTGATTTAGTCCAGGTTTTGCTTGTATTAGTTATAAATATCAGTGTTTTGTGTATATATGTAGGTATGTGCAGTATATATACATTTATATACTGTGTGTTTACAAGTATGTATGTATTTAAAAAGTTCATAGTTAAAAAATATACGAATTTTTTCCCCCAGGTACTTTCTCTTCAAAATGATGTAACGAAACTGCAAGTGGAAGTCAACAATAAAACTGTTACCATTAATGACATATGTTTTTCACCTCTCAATAACAGTTTTTGCACCATTCAGAGTATTCTTAATTGGTTTCAGAACAATGCTGAACACATAAAAGATGATTATCTTGATCATATTGAAAAGTGTATGAAGTAAGTTTACTTGAAGATTTAAATATATATTTAACTTTTTAATGTCCTTTTTAAACAAAACTGATACTGAAAATTAATTTTATTAATGGTATTAAACAATTCAAAGTTTTTGTTTTAGACTCAGTTTGGATGATTATTGTAATTAATACTAATGTAAGCCCCTGCTTCACAAGTTAATACTTTTACGACATACATTTTGTTATAGATTAATGAAATTTTAGTTGAATACTGTGTGTTTTTGTTGGTCCTCTCAATATGATGATATATTTCAAGCCATCTTTCTGGGAATAAAATGTCACTATATGACATTGAACTTACAGAAAAGTAGAATTTGACATACAATTTCTCGCTTAATGATTATCCAAGAATCAATTATTGTGAAATTTTGCAGTCTTGTATAGTAAATTGTCATTTTAAATGAATTTACTCTCAATAATTTTGTTGGATTTTTCATTATAAATTATTTTAAACATAATCTCAACTTTTATTGTAAGTGTGATTTATTTTTGATAATGTTTAAAGCATAGTTGTAAGCTTCTTGCCTCTAAAACATTAATTTAATAATTATCTCAATAGCCAGTTGGTAGAGATATGATGTGTATCAAACTGCAATGGAGCCAAGTAATCGAGATCACATTGAAAAAGACTTAATGTGATCTCGATTACTTGGCTCTGTTACAGTTTGATAAGCCTCGTATCTCTACCAACTGGCTATTAAGATAATTATTTAATGTTTAAAGCAGTTTGAATGTAAACAATTACAGATCTTAAGGTTATTGGACATATAATTCTATATACTAACAAGATTCGTTGCTTTTGGAGATAAAAAAAACTCTAATTTAGAATACTTTTGGTTCTATTAGCATATTATTGGACATAAAAACCATTGTAACAGAAGTGCAACATGGATTCTAAAGCTGTTAGTCTCCAAGAAATCAGAGAAGTTTATATACAATTAATTAAAGATCATTTATAATTCAATTTAATTTAAAATATTATTGTTAAAAATAAAATACTTAGTATATTTACTTTTATTTAAGATAGAAATTTGGCTAATCATTAGGTGATTGTGCCATTATCTTGTATAAATATTTTAATAATTTAATAAATTCAAAATTAATTTCTAATAATTTGGAAAATTCTGAAGAAAAAACTGATTTAGAGAGGGACTCTACGATTATTGACTTTTCTAACTGGAATTCTGTGATATTTACTTTTGCGTGTCAAATTTAGAATACGATTTTCACAAATCCTGTTTATATTAATTTTAATTAATAAATAATAATCTTTATGAAACCCGATACATTACAATAAAGCTACAACAACTGCCATATGACATTGGGCTAAATAATGGCTATAATAATTATAAATTACGCTTGCAGTTGTATTTATTGTTAAAATTAATATTAATAAAGCTAATAATCCAGCAATTTAGTCAAACATAAGCCAAGATTTGAGCTTTGATATATAATATGTTCTTTTGTTAAAATATGGAAGGTACAAAGAACCCCAAAAGGACAAAAAAAAAACAAAATACAGGAAAATACAGGATTTATTCGTGGACAAAAATTTACACAAGCACCCACTATAATTTTGTGGGGTAAGTGAAATTGAGTACACCGAATCCCTACTCGACCTCACTCGCGTACAACGGGAGACAAAAGCCTTATGCACGTGGTGTTACAATCGAATGAAGGTTCACGACAATAGAGTACAACTACCAACTTAATTACTATGGTTATAACTACCTTACGAACTAAGATTAAATTATGGAAGGATGATAGTAAGCACAGATAGGAAGATGTATAGAAAGGTTAGGAAAAAGGGTACCCAGAATATTCAGATGTGATATCTTCCTGTTGGAGGAGGAAACTGTAATTCAGCCTGAAGATGCAAACGATTCTTGATTCGAACTTTCTCTGTCCTTCCCTCGATGGATCAATCATCCGCTGTCCTTCTCCTCTCCAAAAATGAATCCTGTCCAAGATGTCCGTCCGCTCGCTTCCTTGTCTACTTCGAGAGTGACCCTTTTTCTCCCTATCTGCCTCAGGGCCAATACTCCCTGCCTGGCCTCGTTCTCGTCGATGTCTTCCCCCCTTCAACAAACAGGAAGTGAAGAGTGGAAAGACAAAGAAGTGAGAAGACAAAGAACACAAGAAAGAATTGTTATTACTAGACTTACGATTATCGCGTATACAATAATATGGCATTTTGCCACACTTTTTCCAACATTTTCACAATTGATTGTTTAATTTGCAATTAATATCTGAAACTTAATGTAGAATATGCACAATGATTATTGATTATCAGTAGATAAATTTGTAAAATAAATAAATATTTTTATTTTTTAGTAATCCAGCATACATTGAACAAGATTCAAGTTGTTTAGGAGAATTCGGAGGACCCGTGTTTCCTTTCGTGGCGCTTGGTGGATTCAAAAACAAGGATTATAAAAATGCAACTGCATTAATTATTACCATTCTGGTGAATAATCATATAAATTCTTCTGAAAATTCTGATGCATTGGCTTGGGAAAACAAGTAAGTTAATTTATTACAATTTTTCATTTAACATTTTAAAATTTTCTTTTATTATTATTATAATTAAAAAAAAATTGTATAAATTACAAAGTGTAAATAGTCAAACTTTTGATTGAGCATCACTATTTTATTTGCATCCTGAAATGGCACTAAATTGAAGTATCTTAAATAACAAGAATTACATGTAGAATGAATCAAAAATTAACTTTACAAGGTCTACAGATTAAAAATTAAAACACTGTAGAATGTAATTCAAATGTAGGTAGTTAGTAATGAACCATTGGTAACAGTGAAAAGTTAGAATGACACATGAAGGACAATTGTGATATAGCATTTCCAAATGATAAGGTTTAAGTGGTTTTATGGAGAACAAATAGCTATTTAATTTTTTTTAGTCCAAAAAAAAATTCCACCTGTCAATCTGTTGGCTCATCAAGATGTGTGTGGAGACAATGTTGTGTTCTGTTAAGGTGTTGCAGATTGGTGTAGATTTGCTGTAGATTATTTAATGGGAGATTCACCATCATTCTCCATAGCGCCTGGGTGTGTGTTGAAGTCACCCACATGTAATTCTAAGTTAGCTACTGATGAAGTGAAAGCTACCATTGCTGTGTAACTGCAGCAACAGGGATGGAATTTTTTGAGAACAGGCTAAACAAACATGTAACACATTGTGATAAATGTCCAAACAAGCTGGATAATTTTGTTGAGAAATATATGATATTGCTTGCAGATAAATAATCTTATTACAATATGAAAACACAGGATTTATCTGTTGTTGGCTTTGTAATGTTACTTTTTGATCACTCTATATGTATGGTGATGAATCTGTTTAATAATTTGAAGTCACATGATTTAACAATTATTACATATTTGATTTTTTTTCTTCTTCTTTCTATTCTTTGCAATGCAAAAATCATACTTTTAATAATTAGATCAGATAATTACAAATTGTTTAATATGTATGGAGAAAATTTATTCAAAAGTATACACAAATGCCATTTAGGAGGACATTTTATATATAAGTTTGACTATTCAATTAAAACTCTCATCTTTAACCTTACCATTGTAATAACTAACATTACATATTTTCATTTATAAATTAATAGTTTTATTTAAAAATTTTTTAGGTACATAGAATTTATGAAAAACTATACACATGAAAATATGACAATAACATTTTATTCCGAGGTATATTTGTATTTAAAATTTTTTGTGTAATTTTTTTTTCCTACCAAAATAATAATGAAAAAAATTAAATATTTAAAATTTACTTTCAGAGATCTATTGAAGATGAAATAGGAGAACAGAGTTATTCAGATGTATATACTATTCTTACTAGCTACATTGTGATGTTTCTATACGTATCTATTGCTCTAGGGCAATATAATAGCTTTAGAAGAAGCTTTGTAAGTCTCTTGTAATTAATTTTTAATAATAATAATTAAAATAATAATTTCTTATATTTATGTCAATTATTGTATAATGGAAAAAGCTTAATACCATATTTCCTTTCTTAAAAGATGCACTCAAAACTAATAAGTTATTTAGAAGAAAAATGTTTTTGAGTGATTAAGACAATTTTAACATAGTCCAGAAAGACAATTAGATCAAGAAGAGCATTTTAAACCATTTTTGTGAGGGCCCTCAACATTATATTGGCAAAAAAAACTAAAATTAACAAGACACTGATGTGCTTTGACTGTGTTTGTACAACAAAGTAACAATAACTAGCTTTGCTTATCTTAAAATTTGTCAGAGTAAATGATAATTTTGGTTGAAATTATTTACTGATGATTTGTTTTTAATGACAAGTAAAGAGATGATGACATAATCTTCATAAATTTTGAATTACTTAAACTATAATGGAGCAAAATAATGAACGTTTAGTTCCTAGTATAATTGATTTGAAAAACTGTTGTACTATAGAAATAAGATGCATTTCCAAATTGATGATATTTTATGAAAATTTACACATAACTAGCTAGATTTGATCGCTTTAGTACGGAGAGAAGTGTGTCCAATGGCCATCAATCCAAATCAATTCGAAGGTATCTGTGTGAAAATTTCGATCAAAAATTAGGTTTTAAAATTTTGAATTTTAATATGATACATTACAATTGGATAATTGGTTGACAATATAAATTCTTTAGAAGTTCATTATTGACATCATCATAAGAATTTGTAAAATAAAATATCCTAAGCTGAGTATTTCCAGTTTAGTTTAAATCTAGTTTGCAACCTTGTTTAAAAGTAGATAGTCCCAGAAATATTTAGGAATTATTTCATTATATATAAAATAGTATAGTTTTGTATGTAATATAATCTTAAATAAAAATATTTAAAATAAAAATTTACATTTTCTTGCAGGTCGAATCAAAGATCACCTTAGGTTTGGCCGGAGTGGTGATCGTGTTTGCTTCCGTGACATCATCAGTGGGAGTATTTAGTTATTTTAACGTGCCACTTACATTAATTGTTGTCGAAGTGATTCCGTTTCTAGTTTTGGCTGTTGGTGTGGATAATATATTTATTATAGTTCAAACTTACCAGGTATTTAAGTAAACATATTTTATATTATTATAATTAATCACTATGCTAATAATACATGGTGTTTTTAAATAATGGATATAGTAGATTTAACACTTAATAATTATCTGTTTGATGTTTCAAATATAATATAAAAAACAAAGCAATTTTATGGAAGTCATTAATAAATATTAAAGTTAAGAGAGCTAAATGGCCAAGATGACTGATTCATATGTTTATTTTAGAGGAACCTTTTCAAATCTTAGGTTGGTTCCTCAAATTTTTGTTGTTTTGTTGGTGGATTGGTCTGGATGTCTCAGCGTCTCGCAACTCATTGTAAATCTATCATAATGGGCTAAAAAAAAATACAAAAGACAATGTCCATGCTGGGAAAAGTTAATAGAAATTAAGAATTATAAATAGTTGTATTTCTAATACTTAATATCCCATTGACAAGATTGATACATCTGAAAATATATTGCATCTTAGTTTTCAATATACAGGGTGTCCCAACGAAAACGAAACGGCAGAGATATCGCGTTCGTCCAAGCAAATCGCTCGGACAGGTCGATTTTATTCTCAAGGAAACATTTTCTGCAATGAAGTTTTTGCGATTCTGAATACAACAGACAACAAAATTTTTAAAAACTTATTCATTTTTTATTAACTAAACAAACATTTATTTCAAATAAAGTAACACAAACTATTAAAAAAACATAAAAAAAACCTTTTAAGCTAGACCGCATATGCAAGGAAAAATAAGTTGATCATAAAATTAAGGTTGATAATGTGTTATCTGTTTCCAAATGTTATAATACAGTATTTTGTAGTGTTCACATTAAGCTTGACCACATAGTGATTCAATTCGAATTTAAGATTATTATTTGTTTTGTCGGGATAAAAATCGTCTGGCACACTCGTTTTCCCGCGCTTTTAGTCGTTCGACAGACGATGTTGGTCGCCATAGGAACGCTACTCGGACAACATCTGAAGACTCGACC